TTATAGTGAAACATGTGAAGGGAAGTGTGTTCATCTGAGCATGAAGGTATGACGTCATAATCACAGCCTGTTGAACTGTATTCAGTTTCGGTAGTATTAATAATATAAGGAGTGGAATGTCATACCCAACCAGAGAGTGGAGGTTCTACGTGCATCCTTTATATCCATCCTTCCCATATTCATAACAATAATCTTTCGGAGAGCCAGGGCGGCTACCGTCTTACGAGACAAGGTACTATTGTGACATCTGGTTAAACTATGCAGTTCGATTCTAAATTATTGTCGGGCTTTACGTGGCCTATAATTTTGAAACCAGAAACTACACCGCTTGGACGTCTTACTTGCATCGAAAGCATGCATGTTGAAGTTTTTTTAGCATTCTGTAGTATTGATTTTACAAAAAAACGAAACTTTTTGAGTTACAATTTCTTATTCCATAAGCAGTTTTATTTTATTTTTACTGGTTTGAAAATTAGAGACCACAGAAACCCAGACAGTAATTTAGAATCATATGTGTAAAGTGTGTATCTACATGTCGTGGAATGCGCACATCCATGAAATAAGTTCACTTTGCATGAACCTATTTTTTATTGTCAAACAATTTGTAAAGTAACTCAGTGTTGTCACAAATGTTTCATTGAGGATCGGACGTAGGATATGACCTTCATCCCACGAATGGCTCAGAAGCACAATGAGATCATAGACGGGGTGGGGTCATTTATTCCTCTTATTCTGTATCTGCTTCCCGTGTGAGCTTCAGTAGTCCTGTTGTTAAGGCACAAGAAGCATATATTGTTCGTATCCAAATTAAGAGAAACCGAGAACAACAATGAAAGTAAACATATTGTCCACACACCTACGACTTGGTCTTCCCAGTGGTCTCTTTCCTTCTGACTTTCCCACCGTATATAATAAAGAGGAAATTCATTATTAGTACAGAGCATGTGGTATTGTTGCTACAGTGAAACCTAGGAAGCTAGATGGGCTGGACATGTGGCTGGGATGTAGAGAGAATGGTAGTTCGTATAGAATCCTGGTGACGAAACATTTACTTAAAATACCTACCTGAATTTAGAGGATAACATTAAGCTGGATCTTACGTAGAATTGGGATGGAGATACATGTAACTGGTTCCGGATCGTGTACAATTAGCGTTATTGAATTATTAATCTCCGCTAGAATGATATTAGTTAGAATGAAGATAAACGTGAAGAGACATGCAGGCAGAACGTAACGTTTCAACCCATTTGAATGGATACGGCGGCAGTGAAACTTGGGCCATTGAATTCGCAATGAATTCAGTCTAAGGACTGAATCAGATTTTATACAGAACACGAGAGGGCCCTGAAAATGACGAATGTATTTCTCCTTTTCTCGACTGAGGGATATACCAAAAATTACGCACCATCAATGCGTGAGATTGCTGTACATTACCCTGCAGCGGGAGCGCGGTGTTTGTGCGCCTGCGAAATATTTCGCGAATTATGTATAATGGGAATGTCTGTCATTAAAAGTTATTGGGGTTGCGAGGGTGGTACTTAAGGAGAGGCGGCCGAGGGGGGTAGGGTAAAGGTTCGAACGCGACACCGCTGCCTTTCCTTCCTTCAGTAATTATTAGGGTAGAACGGGACGACGGATCCGATGCCACTGGGTGTTTAAAAATAATTCGACACGAGAGTCATTTTGTCATCCGTCGGTGGGTAGACGCGAAGATGGCAGAGTTTCGTGAGCTAATTATCAGGATGTCCAGTGCGTGGCAGTAGTGCAGTTAGAGTTGAACTGTATCAGTGATGGGCTGTGTACAAGTGACTCTTAAATGTAGCATCTCTGTGAAAGTAGTTCATATCGATGGGTGTGAAAGATGTAATAATTCAGTTCTGTTCTCATTTATGTACGTGTTAATGCAGCAGCCCAAAGGCCAATTACAAAGTGAGCACGAGCAGAATAAAGCGAAGAAAATACAAACAAGATACCAAAAAACAAGGCAATTTATATCATTTAATCAATAATAATAATACTAATAATAATAATAATAATAATCCAAATCACAGAAATCAGAATCATCTCTTGAGATGTGAAAGCAATAAAATAAACTTATTTACAATGAATACAATTATTATTCTGATGACTGGAAGAACAATGGATTAGTATAAAATGACAGCAAGAAAGAACTGAAGTTTTAAATATGTCAATATAATAATAATAGTGATAATAATAATAATAAGCTAAATGTAAAGCTATCCCTGTAACAGGCCGTGAAGGCCCATGGGATTGTGAGACGTAGAGGCTCCCACGTTTTCTAGATAGTCGATCCACAGATGGCGGTCAGGTTCTCAGCCTTACTCGCCGGCCATCCTTTACCTCCAGGAAGATTCCTCGTACTCATTTCTGCTAGAGGCTGAGTCGACCCCAGGGCCATAGTGCGACTGGAAATCATTGGTCAGCTGACCTCATCGGGAATCGAACTTGCGACCTTCCGGCTTGTAGCATAGTGCCTCAACCAACTACGCTACCGCGTACCCCCAAAATTCTCCACTCTATATGAAACTGAATATTCATTTCTAGGTTCACAACAGCCCGCTACTGAATAAGCTTACTATCTTGATACTCCTCATAAGTTGCTACAAGTAATCGAAATCATTTCAGTAATTTCGAAGCTTAAGCATGGAGACAGAAGGACAAACACCGTGCCCAATTATGGGTTCATTTTATTGACTTCGTGAGAAGAAAGCGTGAAATGCATTATGGCTGTTGCGGGTAGCAGACGCAGCGGCCGGCCGGTCCGAGTTCTGGGTGCCATGACACACACAGGAGCACAACATCCTCGGCACATCATTGGCTCCTTCACATCTGCGTAACTCCACCCCATTCACGTACCGAGACCCACATGTGATTGGTGCTTGCCTCGGTACATTGGGATGGCCTGAGTCTATTAGTTAATATAAATTGGATACAAACTTAGACGAACTTCACTAACTAAAGATTCATCTTCTATATTAAACGAAAGTGAACTTGGATATATCATAATATTCTGGGGCC